TTGAGAAAATCTATTTCATCCCTCCGTGGAGGCTAAGGCTGGCTATCCAGAGCAGATGGCTTCAACATCCCTGTCAGTTATTTGGCCTTCTCACACCGCACGTTGGTGACGCCCTATAGGTAGTAAGGCCGCAGCTGACCCTGCCAGTAAACGATGGAATAGTGTTGTAGAGTCCGTTGGTAGGCTTTTTACCAATGTGGTTTAGCCCCATATACTGAACTTCGTTAGTGGAGCTACTGTTCCTAAGAGGCTTAATATACTTAATTTTGTCACCACCAGAAGGATTCTTGGGATCACTTTGAGTTGGTGCATGGCCTTCACGTAACTTTTACATGTTGGGTTCCCTGAATGCAACAGTTTGTTGGCTACGTACTGCGTGGCTGATAATTTAAGTCGTGGACAGGTGTGGATCGCGGGTTTTGGGTTTCTTTCAGACCTCAGTTAGAAAGCCGTGGCCTTCCGCGAAGTGCAAGATTTCGTTTCGAGGCTTTCTTTGAACGAATCTAGATCTTCAACCTTGGGTGGTTGGTTTAAATCATATATCTCACGGTCTGCTGTTTCTCCTTTCGTTTTCTGTGCAGCTTACGTCACAGGGTCTGGGCAAAGCGAAATCTTAACCTTGGGTACAGTGCAGGAGCTACTCGCCGCTTAGGTATGCTGCGCCGCAGTTGAGGCCTTCTGATCATCAAGCTCACTGGTATGTTTATGAACCTGTATTTCTTTTACTTTATCAGGAACTACCTCAACGGCTTCAAAGTTTGTGTTGTTCGGAGGGACAGATGCTGCTTTAGTGAGTTTTCCTGCTTCTGTCTATGTTTTAAACTGTAAGCTAACAGGTCAGCAATGATCCTGTTGGCTGCTTCGTAGTCCGAAACAATTTGCATGAACATCATATACTTTGCCATTCCAAGCAACGCTTTGATAGCCGCATTGAGCTTTATCTTATCCGACGCATTACAAACTGTTGGGTTAAATTTTCTTGGTTCACTAAATGATCTACCTTGGTTAGTGTTTCAGTATAGATATCACCAGCCCTTTTGATATCAGTCAGCGTGCTAAGCGGCAAGAGTCCGCTATTTCTTACTCCAGCTGCATTCAACTGGGATGACACTTCGTATCTACCTACCATAATTTCTTGAAGCTCGCAGTTCTTCTGTTTGTTGTCTTCCAGTTCGAGCCCTTGAAGAAGCCCAACCCAGACGTCCTAGACAATACGACCGAGGAACAACTGGAAGAAGTATATCACAAAACCGCTGGTAAATCTCTCATATTAAATTCATGACTTGAGAATAAAGATATTTATTTATTCGTTTATATCTCCAACGACGAACACAGGCAACGGAAGAGCCACCTGGACTATCTTGTTCGACATCAGTGTGCCCACAAGCTCACTGCTGGTCAGGGGAGTCAATTCGATGGTCAAACAGAGGCTGATTACCCTCAGTTACCAGAAGGCCCTTCTCTCCCGGCAACACTGTGATGCCTCTTTTGCCGTAGCTGGGCGCCCATAGAAAGGCCACTGCCCTCCCGTGGATCTTTGAACACCATGGAAGAAGCGGGGGACACCTTCTTTCCCTCACGCCGGCAAGACATCCTCAATGCCTGCGGAAACCGGGCCAAGTCATGCAATCCATGGCCATTTAGTGTATAGGAGAGAAACTTCTCCGCAGGGATATAGACGGGAATACCATGATGGTTGTACATAGGATCCCAAAGATGCCAAATGACCGCTCCGCAAAAGACCGGTACCTCCATGACGTCTGACGGCGGCAGTGGCCTTCGGAGAAGGTTGACGTTGACAGTATACCAGCTGACAGCGCCAACAGAGTGCCGATACCGACGCAGATGAGGTCAGTCCCCGCTCCTAGACTACTCGCCATCCTTATTCCCCCACGTGCGGCCCTAATAGGCGTTCTACACGCTTGGTATGGCTTGAAATACCTCATGAGCGGCTAGGTGTGTATGTGTGAGACTGGGTCGAGACTGGAAAGATGTCAACCGCCAAGACCTTCGAAGTCCGCGGTTGTCATACCGGCACAAGTCAGCCAGTCGGCTTCTGCCACCGTAGCTCCTACAAACTGAAAGTGGAGCTCCAAGGAAAATGCCGTCCACTCTGCTAAGCATGGCTCTTAAAGTGGTCGTTCATGTACCAGCAACTCGCTAACCACATGGAACGACCGAACGTTTTGCCGGGACAACAGAAAACCAGTACATGTTGTTCTTCCTGAACTAGCCAAGCACTTGACAGCTTTTCGTCGGTATTCCAACTTCATAAGATCGTATCAGCCGGCGTAGGCAAACCTCCGATCACCTAATCCAAAGCTTACGTAGGGGCAGTGAGTTTCGCATTAAGGTACGCAGGGCGGAGTCTGAGCATGGACCATCGATATCAGGGTATCTCGAGGAGCAATCCTAGGACCACTTATTAACCTCCTGTCCTCCAACGATCTGCTGCACAAGTTCTCCTCACCCATCCTTCTCTTCTCTGGTGAAATTAACATTTGAGGGGTGTTAGGGGAAGAGGCCGACTGTGCAGCATTCCAAAATGTCCTGCGGCTACTGGAACTATGGTCGTCGGAGAACCGTTTGAACTTTAACCCTGAAAGGTGAAATACAGTATGCACCAGAGGCCATGGAGGAAGAAAGTCCGAATTCCAATACAAGTCGAGTAACCGCGCCACCACCAACGTGTCCATGGAGAAAGATTTCCAGCTCAATTTCTGGGACACCCTGCGAACTGGCTCCAACTGCGAAGAAATAACTGTCAGACAAAACGACACCTTGCGCTCTCGCGCCCAAGCCGTTTCTCACAGCTTTTAAATCACGCTGACGACTGCACATGGAGGTGTTTCATATGGTAGCATCCCCACCTCTCAAAAGCGAGTTTAATATCCTTCACAAATCACAAAAATCCACAACAAAACGCGTCTTGAAACTAAGGAAGAAGGCATCCCCCGAAAGGCTGAAACACCTAAACCTATCCACCTTATGGTATTGCAGAAAGAGGGGTGACCTTATTATGGCACACGAGATCACCCGTCAGGGAAGTCACGCGAAGAGATTGGCTTCACCCGCGACATGACGGTCGTATAGGGGGAAGCCGTGTCAGGATAGTACATCAGAGGTATAGCACCAGGCTCTGGCGTGATCCTTTCTCCTTAAGAGTAAGTGCTTTATGGAACGCCTCACCACCGGATGTAGTCACGCCCCTTTCATCGGACTCACTCAAAGGACGGTTATACGGTCGGTTCATTTCGTTTAGCTTACCACAGATATACTTAGAGCATTAACATCTTTACTAACTCGCCACTACTTCTTTCCTGATACACCTACATTATCCACTAACTCTTTTCTGGCAACCATACCCGCAGAATCTACTTTTATGCTGAGGGTACTTCCCACATACTTTTTCCCACTATCCTGCTATTCCTAACCAGGCACCTGTACAGAGAGAAGTGGCGAAGACCCTTAATCTTCCTGGCAGTCGGTAGCTCCCTAATCGCTCTGCAAATTACGACCACTAACTCACAGAAAGGTTCACCTCACCGGAGCCAAAAGCAGGAAAGCAGAAGGGTTTTTCTTACCCACCAGAGGAACAAAAAGAACAATACGAACTTAGCCCAAAGAACTGGGAGAAAGAGGGATAAAGTCGGCCAGTTACTTACGCTTGCTCAATCGATGTTTGAAGTCTGGAAATACCTTTCTTTCTCAGATCTCTGAACCACTGGAAAGATCTACCAGATAGCAGTATTTTCACTCTTAATTGACACTTTTGAGGCGAGATTGGGCCTCGAAAGTACCATCACTAGAAAGAATTGGTAAGGGTCGTCTGTCTAATATTCTCACTACTGCAAAGTGATACTGTTTTTAAACGTAACCCACTTAGGCTTCTTAAGCCCCTCGGAAAACAGCTGAGTACTGCCATCCATTTTCAGTTCTTACCATTGCTTGTTTTTGACTTGCTTCCTCTTTATTTTTTGCACAAACGCCAATGGTCTTTTGGTGATAGGAAAACAGAGGTTGCTAGCGGCTCAACTGTATACATTTAAGTCTCATATCCCAAGCAGGTACTTTCCTGGAACCATTTGCAACAACAATTCGAGGGCACAAAGAGATATTTCGGCGTATCCTGAAAGACTTAAACACCTAAACCCATTCACCTTAAGTTACCGTAGGGAGACGGGTGACCTTATTATGGCATACAAGATCGCCAATCAGGCAGACCGCGCAAACAAATCAGTTTCGCCCGCAACTCAGCCATCTTCATGAGGAAATCCCAATTAAGATAGCAGACCAGAGAACCAAAACCATACTCAGATCCAATTTTTTCTCCCTGAGAGTATGTGCTTTATGGAATGCCCTACTGCTACATATCGTTATAACTCCCTCAGTCGACTCATTCGAGAGACGGTTAGGTAGTGATATCACCTCGCATGGTCTGTCACGGACATACTCAGGTAGTCAGCAACCTCACCAGCCCACCCTTAACTCCCTCATACCAACCACTCACTATCCTTCTCCTTAATACACCGACGAAACCCACTAATTCCTCCGTAGAGAATAAACCCACGCTACCATTCGGGCAATTCTCACATACTTTTCTGTCTTTTGTTGCTCTTCTTCACCTATTTCTTTCCTTCTTTTCCTTTTTCTCTTCCCCTATTTTCCTTTTTCTTCTTCATTCTTACCACCACTTTGCTATTCTCCTTCAGGTACCTACACAGAAAGAAGTCATGACAGCCCCCTAAACGTCCCAGCAACCCGTGGCTTCCCAATCACTACAAATTACAACTTACCCACAAAACATCCGCCCCACCGAGGCTAAAAGCAAGAAAGCAGAGGGAATTTCCTCGTCCACTGCAGCAGTGAATCGAACAGCTCAACCAATCCCTAAGAAAAAGACGCCAGAGATCAAAAACTACCAGTTTTCTACACTTGTACTATCAATATTGGATATTGGATCCTGTATTCATAGTGATATTGCATTTTGGAAGAGTCCTTGCAAGGAAGCCGATGACCTTGATAACACCCTTTGATTGCTGATTGTTGTTGCTGGTAAGCATACCTTTCACGATGTTATTGAGATTCTCAAGTAAGAGCTATGCATAGTATGCCTATGCAATGACTTAATGCCTGACATGTGTCACATTGCAGTTTATCTGAATATTAAATGATTTGCGTTTGATTTTAGATCCTTTTATTGCTGATGCACTTATCCTGAACATCAGCTTACTTGAATTGGATTATGAGTCGCATGTCATAGACTTTTTAGATACTGATTTCGTTTGTCATAGGGTGCAATATGAGGTTTTTACAGCTGATAATTAGCTGTGAACAATGTATTTGTTTTCTTTCCTGATAATATGTATTCAGTTCGTTTCTAAAGCAGGTATTTTGCTTTCGGTGACTCACATGTATAAATTCTAGAATCTGACGTATTTTCACAACTAAGGCGATATCAATTATTTGATAGACCAGTCTTTCGTACCACGCGAGATGCTGATGGAAATGAAACAAAACAAATCTCTTTTGATGCATGGGGAAGGTAGTTGCGACTACTTTTTTTAATCTATTCAGATCCTGGTATTTAATTCTTTATCATGAAATGTCGCCGCATACTTCTAAGCTTTCTGTTAAATTTGTCAGTGCAAACGGATCCTATTTTTTACATCCGAAAGTAAAATATACTGAACTGTACACTGGTTATGTGTCAGGATCAAACCAGTCATTTGTATTGGCACATTTGGAAGAGTACACTCCAAAAATAAGTGCTCAAATACACACAGACTTAGATATTTTCATTATTGAGGTAATTTGCAATAAGCTAATTGTTGCTTTTAGCCTTTATCCGACTATGCAAGCTACCTTGGAAATAGATCTATGTTAATGTATCGAATGAGGGATATTTACACGGTAACAGTTTCAAAGTAATTCTCTATTTTGCTGTTGCTTATATTAACCGTGTTTACTTTAGTAAATCAGTGGAGTACAAATCATCAGCTAATTTATGGAGCTTGAAAACCGATACATTTGGTTAGTTATTGATAATTTTAGGCATATACATATCTGATGAAAGCAACTCTTTTGATACGTACATGCTACTGTCTAATGAACTTCACATGATGATCCTTTTCATGCTTAATCTCTTTTGGTGGCAGTCAGTTGATGTAGACTATCTTTTAGTCCTATTTTCACTTAAAATATGTATGTACATATGACGGGCATTTGTAGATGTTCCCATTCCTCCCACAGTTACGAAAAGTTTGAGTGACGAAACGCATAGAATTTTTGATACAAAAAGTTAATTCGTACCTAGAATATGGTTTTGTGGTCTTGACATCATATTTTCATTATTTGATCGCAAACTTGGCATTGGAGCTCAAGAGAAGCATCAACATTTTATTTGTTTATTTTTTACTTTGAATACAAACTAATTATAAAAGGGGGTACTAAGAAAACCCACCAAAACACTTTAATGTAACAGCACTACAGTACGAGGAAATGCAATATTAGAATAATCGGTAATCAGATGGTTCGTTTCGTAGGATATTTTCATAAAGTCGTCACTGCATGTGTATTACTTTTTACAAGTAGGAAACAAAGCGCCTACGCTATAATCACTCCCAGTTCACTGGGAGGTAACATTCGACTCTATCAAACGAAAGGTGTGGTGGTATATAACTGTGAAGGGACTACAGAGAACATATATTCTGCTAATCACGACAATTCTGTACAACATTTTATGTTGATTTGCGTGCATCACCAGCATACGCAGTTACGCAGTTATACGAACTTCTCGACTTCCAGTGGTTGGTTGCAGCCCCTTCCGATCTTACCAAAGCACTATTCACGTCGATATTGCTGGGCACATTTCATACTTCCGGACGTCGACTGGAAGCCAACTAGTTGTGACTTGGGCAACTTAAATATTGTCGTACTGTAAGGCGATATCGTATGCATGCTAAGGACTGAAAATTATTTCTTGGGGTGGCAGATTTATATCACCACCACGCACCAAAACCACCCAGCGCGTGCCAACGATGATAAAATTAACAGAGAACGGTGAAATCATGTAAACATTCTTAACTGCACTGCGGGTTTAAAACAGTGGAGAGGAGTGGATTTCTACCTTCACCCTACTTGAAGTTTTTTTTGTATGTAACCTGCAGTATGTTAGCAAACTTCTGAAACTTCCCTTCCTGATAATTCAGTACACAGTTCTGTCTTAGAAGTCAAAGGTAGCTCTGATTTCAAAATGTCTTTAGCTTCAACTGGTTCGCCCTTATCACTAAAGAGGAATGATTAAACTGTCTTGTTTATTGTCCAGAACAACTGATATCTTGTAAGTTTTGTTTTTTTAAGATAAAACTAATCCAAAAATATAACCACATATATGGAAAGATTTGTTTAAAAGCAATTGAAACGGTTCAAATAAAATTTAATTTATTGGTTAAAGTTTAGTCAGTATTTTAGGAAAGCATTCACCGCATGAAAGTGCATGTATTACGGGGCAACACAATAAAAATTCTGTGTTAAAATCTTCAAAGTTTATTGTTTAAATAAGAACAGCTGTCTTCACAAATGGAAAAAAGCTGGTAATCTCAAACAGGCATGTCTCTAGAGTCAAGTGTACTTCAATGCAGTCAGCAGTATGGCATTCATTTTAAAGTTTAAACATATTTCTTTGTATCACACCATATACTTAGCCGTTGGCGGTCCTACGTTTCTTCATTTACCTTTGCTGATGTTCTGATGATTCTTTTAGTAAATAGTTTGGTTTTTTGATTGTGTTTGGACTACTGATACCAAAGTAAAGAAGCAGATAAAGCAATCTAGAGAATAGTAATATCTATATATAAGAGTGAGAATGTGCAAGTTTTTTGATGCTATTCCTTTTTCCTAGGTACATACCCTAGAAATTCAAACTTCGTGGTAATGGAACTATCTAGGAAGTCACGCTGTCCGGATTCTCATGTATAGCATAAGTTAAGATTCGCTACTTTCACCATTTTCCTTTTTGACTTTGATTTCCTGGGTGCAGATTCATTTAGGGTCAACATGATGCTCTCTTTTAGACACAACTTCCGCATCAAACGAACTAACATTTCCCGGTTACGTTGTTTAGTTCTTTCATTTTTGAAATGTTCAACCATTCATTTAAGTGAACCTAATAAAAAGTGCATGTCCTACCAGCTAACTCATATTCAGCCTAATCGCTTAGACATTCTGTATTTCATTGGTAATGAAAGCATTAATTAAAAAGATACATTACCTTACCCTTCGTTGAACTTCCTTTGCCTCTTTATTGTTCATTGTCTAAAAAAGATTCTTAAAGTCATTACAAACTGGATTACCTGTTTATGATTTGCGTTTATACACCTATTTTTTGATTTTGAAGAGAAACTATCAAACGGAATTCATTCAGAGAAAAGGAATGTGTTTTTGCTTGTCAACATTAGCATGCAGGCGACAAATTTATTAAAAATAGTTGTAATAACGAGCTGTTGTTTGTACTGTCTAATCTCTCGATCACTGGTTTTTAATGTATTCTAAGACCCATCTATTATTCCAGACGATCTGAAGTCGATAGTTATCCCAATGGATTAGCACCATCAGTCAATTTACGTAGACTTTTACCGTCACACCTTCATTTTAATTAACTCCACATTTTGTGGCAGGCAGCGACTAGATGTACGTAACACATGTCCCCACCAACTCAGTGGATTCGGCGTGGAAGACTTACACCCAAGCTCAGCTTTCCTCGTTTGGTAATTCAAAAAAAGTTATTGGTTGGATGCATGTAGATATTAAGTTGGTGCGTGGTGAAACAAAAGATTCTGTTGATTTGTTTACTCATCTTTTGATAAACATTCAAATGTCGGTAGTACCTCAAATGGCGCAGTTGGTGAAAATACCACTTAATAATTCTATATCCGTAATAAGGCTTAGTTGGTTACTAAATTGTTACCACTAGCACCATTCTGAGGCAACACTGTGTAGTCTATACAAGTACTTCACTCACTACTAGAAGGCTATTAGCAGTCAGTGGGTATATTTCTTAGGGCACTACCTTACGTTCGGTATCATGAAACTGTCTCATCATCTTACAGTTTCCCTTCTGTGTTCAAAGGATCACTTTTTTGGGCGCATTCATTTCTCTGGATTGTGCTACTTCCGTGCTGAAGTTAGGATGAAATATTTTGGGGGTAAGATCACTTTTTAGGAACTATAGTGCATCAGTTTAGGCACTTTCACTACGTTTGGGAAACCTAGTGGCACAATGAGTCGTAGTGCAATAGGTGTGTTTCATCGCTTCATGCGCGGATACACACTATCTAAGTTGGTTTGTGTTGCATTCATTTCGGACATTGTCAATTAAGAGCTAGAGCCGAAATATCTTTCGCTTTATAATTTTTCGTCTCTCGAACTTAAATTGTATGATAAAGGTATGGTTCGTTGGCCTACGCACTTGACTTTTACTTAGTAGCTCGTTCGGTCCAATTCCTACTCCATCCACTTCCCCATCGTCAACCGATTACCATATGCCTTCACATATTGGGTGTCGCTCACAGTCTTGTACACAAACCAGGATATTGTTTCGATTATTAGTTTAAATAGAGCGGTATGGTGGTTGAGTCGTAGTTTAACTCTATTCACGTTACTATCTCCTGTAGTTCTTAAGTTAATTAGATGTCCTAACGTTTACAGAATTTTGTTGTTTTCATTTCTTCATTTTTTCAAAATATGCAGATGCGTACAATAAAAGAAAACGTTCGGTTTCGCTAGGATTACAACATAAACTTTGTCGTCTTACCCTTATCGCCGACTATGCTTTTTTCACTAATGTGGGTAACAAGGATGGACCTAAAACAATCAGCTATATTGTTAGTTAACTTATTTCCAACAGCCATCTATTAATTTTAACTTCCTTTCCTTCAAGATTAAGTTATTTGATCGATTGAATTATCTTTTTCTCACATCAAAATTTTTGGATGATCAACATGGTGAAATGACTGGTTATGGCTTTTTATTACAAGAGGTTAGTATTGGTTAACTTTTGTTATTGTTTTCATTGTTCTCTGTTTTAATTACTCATCGGTGTGATTTTGTGTGGATGGTTTTGTTTTCTCTCACTGTTGCAGATTGTAATCCACGAATCATGGACAGCTGAAAGTGGTCATTACAACTCTCCAACTGATTTAGGTGGGAAAATGTGGACAGCTACATCTTTGCTACATGTAAGGTTTTTAATGCATTTATGCGACTTAAGATGTGTAGCTTAGTGGTTACTCGAGGTTTATATGAATTCAGTTACTTTTTAATCTACTTTTATCTTTACTGCTGCGTTGGCTACTATAACCTTCAAAATTATAGTTCATTACCTTGCGCACAAACCCGGTGTGTTTACTGAGTTTTATTAACCCAATAAATCTAAACGTTTACAAGACATACCGGTTAGAATATCTAGATCATCCAGTGTTCTCGCGATGGACGACGGAGAGTGAAGTGGTTGAGGGCGTTCACCACTGCACTTGAAAAGTTAGATCAGCCCTGATATGTAATTGACCGACCAAATCTCTGCAAAAATACTAAAGGTTCGCTTGACTTTTTCCAGATCACACCGTCCATGGCAAAGGTATTCTGTCCTATCATTTATTAAAGGTCTGTTGTAATGAGCACCTTTTAGCTATGTTGTGCTATATGGCTGTGAAATACTAACAACAAAAGTGAAGAACACCAGGAAGCTTCAAGTGTTCGACCACAGCTGCCTTTGTAACACAGACTTTCATGAGCTACAAATATTCACCGTAATGTGCAGTTGTGTCGCAAAGTTTAGCAGTATTCATAGGCAGGTTTTTGTACTTAGTTTAAAAGCTTATATTCTCCACTTCTAGACCAAAAAGACGATGAAAGTGTTACAGCTTGACTTTACTCAACATACAGTTTTAAAAAAACCAACCTTATAGATTATGTTGGTCTATTTTGTTTCCTTATGGTTGATTTTATTACTTCAGGTTTTCTAATGACTTTTGGGCAGTGTTTTAGCATTCATATCTCTAAACTAATCTGCAAATAAAAGCTAGAGCTTTCCCGAGGGAAATAGTGATTATATTATACTGTAATGCAAGTATTAATGTAATTTCGCCTAATTAATAGTGTGTGTACAGCAACAGAGTGAATCGGTATTAAAAGAACTAATCAACCAGCATATATATATATATATATATATATATATATATATATATATATATATATATATAGTGCTGAATCAGAGTGGTTTTGACTGTGAAATTTATTTTATCCTTAACGACGTTCAGATGTATTCTTTCTCAGTTTTACGGAACCTATTACTCTGCTTATCTTTTTAGCTTAACTCACCTTTGTGCAAATCATCCATTTTGAAGTTATTCATATCTTTCTCATAGTTTACTTCAAGTATTCTGTCGTAAAATGTGAACTTTTTATCAAGTATTATCGAGTAACTGTCTAGGCAACGTTGACTATAGTGTTGTTGTGTCGCATTGTATTGAGAAGCTTCACTTCTTACTAGTACAGAGAAAGTATCATAATAATAGAATATCTGTTTGTTGTAACAACAAGTTAGGGTGGAAAATTATATGTGCAGCGAATATTTGTTTTATGTACTACTTGGAGTACGTTAATAATGATCCATTCCAGTAGTTTTTCTAGTGATTGCTTACAAACTTATTTGTGAACCAAGCTCTTAAGTACATTTTTACTGAACTGTCATATTCTCTTATCTTTTATTCAGGCATTTAGTCGTTTCGATGTGAAACAATGTTGTCTGGCTCATTTGCTTAGTTATAAAAAGGTAGCTGAAGGAATTTTGGGAATGTCTTGGTTAGCTTCACCAGACCCGAAAAAATTGGGTGGGATTTGTTCTTTACCCTGTAAGTTTATAAGTTTCATATCTTTTCATCAGTTTTGTTCATCTTTGGATTGTGTACATTTGCAAATGGTACAGTCCAAAACAAAATTTCATTTCGTCAGTTTCTGTAAGAGATATCAGCTTCTGGTGATATTGTGTTTTGAGTTAGGTTATTTTTCTTAGAGAACACTACTATTTTAAACTAATTGGTGGTTTTTAGGAATTGTGATTTATTCCAATGTAGTTTTCATCACAGATGGATATTAGCTGAAAAACTGTTGAAAGCTTGGGAGTACTGAACATTTATTTTGTCCTTTTTTCAGGCTGCTTGGCAGCATACTCATGGCCTCACATGAGACCGAGTTCAGGGTTACCAGGTTTCGTAGTAATCATTTTAATAGTCGATCACGGGATTGGGATACAGTGTTACACATTTTCTTTCAACCTCTGGGATATAACGCACCCACCATCCACTGTCTTCGGTGGGCCTCCGTCCTCACCTACTTCGAGATAGAATTCTTGAAGTTCTCAAGAGAAATTGTGACATTGAGTGGACGCTTCAAGTTTAGTGAAGAACAACGTTTAGAAACATTTTTACTCAATAGAGCTAGATATTCTTTCAGATCAGCTATGAACGCACAAACAGTTCAGTCTATATGTTAATGAAGTATTGAATACTCAGATCAATACGGACACTAATTTCGCCCCACAACTTTGAAACTACCAGTTTTTTCCCTGGAAGAATGTTATGACGTGTTTTGGATATTTTGACTACTACCATAAAAAAATTATGCACCCGACTGGATATAAAGAAATGATGTTTAATCAAAGAGTGTCAGTGAGTTGATAAGTCCTTTGTGTGCATATGTTTCTGTATAACTACACTAATATGATCATGTTATAATCTTTTGGCGAATAGTGGTCTGTTTATAGACCAATTTGAGACTCTTAAAATAGCTATTGTGATTCGATTTCATTCTGTTTCAAACTAATCTGAGTTTAGGTGAGGTAAAGTAACTCTATGGAGATGATATTTCTGAAATCTTTTCGGTATTCTCTCCACCGATCAGAGAGCTTTCACTCGAGAGGAAGTGAAAGCTCAGAGAACACCAACTCACCATCGTTTCCCTTCCTATGCTATAAATCTTTTCCATCATTTCGAAAATTGTTCACTAATAGACTTATACGGGAATGTTAATAGAGTGAGTTGTGTGAGTTAGTGGTCCAGATGCCGCATGTACTAAGACATTTTCGTCACATTGATCTAAACAATTAGATAGTATTTGGCAGTGTGTGTCATTGGTTTAAAGAGATGACTCATGGGTTTGAAACCCGCTCCATCTAACTGAGGTTTGAGCAGCCAGTCATCAGCCCTTACACAGTAGGTGAGGCTGATGTGCTCATAGTGACTGAGTCCATTTCCATTTGGGATCAGATAGTATTATTAGCTGTACATAGTCCAGTACACAAATTTACTACTTATTATTAAGTTTATGCATGTTTTAAGGAAAAATATCCATTTCCGTTATTTTTTAGTACTAATAAAACATGAAATCATAGACACTGTTTTTCTCTTTACTTGAAACTAGTTCACCAGAGTAATAAGGCGAAGTTGTATTTAAATACAGGATGGACTACGTATGTAGATTACAATGGTCAGCAGCTTGTTAATGCATTGGCTGAATTAATTACAGCGCATGAATTGGGTCATAGTTGGGGAGCAGATCATGATCCAGACACTGATGAATGCAATCCAACGGCAACAAGTCATGGGAAATACTTGATGTATACATATTCTGTTTCAGGGTATGCAGAAAATAATGGAGTAAGTTGTATTGGCTTTTATATTGTTTGAATACTTACATTAATTGTTTAGTTGATAAGCAGTTTTTGTTGTTTCATTTGAAGCCCTAGAATTATTGTCGACATCTTAAAGGTATTTGCCTAAATAACGATGCCATTTAAATACGAATTTCGTCAAATGTAAGTCAATTGAATAAGCCACTTATATTATAAGTAACTACAGGTACTTTGGAATAAAAGTGGAAGACGATGACGCAGTCACAACTTAGCTAAGTTTTGAAATTATCAGTCATATAATTCTACCAGCCACAACTATTTGAGATAGCCCTGGGTGATGATTCAGTGTGAAATAAAAATCTACTTCACGGCCAGAAATCGAACTAGCGGTCTCCAGGTTACCGGCTTGATGCTGTACCAATTGAGCTGCGAGACCCAACTGAACGGATAGTTGTGCATCATGATGTCTCATGGGATTCGAGCAAAACCCTTGGTGATTGAAGTAGAATTAAGATCTGGATACTATCTGAGTCTCATAGTCCAATCTATAAAACATCGGGGTAATAACCTAGAGGCCGCTATTTCGATTCCTGCAGAGACTCAGAATTTCATTTTACCTTGAATCACCATTTAGCGTCAATATATTATACTATGTCGCAAACTCAGTGAGGTTATAATCACGAAAGCTCTTTCTGCCATTACAAATTATTTCAGTTAAGAGCGCTTATTACTTGTTTTTGAATAAAGTAGACAGAGTATGTTGTTTTCATTTGATAACTGTTTAAAAATATAAGTAAAATTGATAAAAATTTTCATTAATATTGTTCCTACTCTTCACATAATCGCTGTTTGAATGGTCTGCTAAATGCAGCAGACGAAGTTAGCGCGTCATACTGAACGTCTATATGTGATTAGTATTATTCATTCTATTGACTAGCTTTTGAGTTTCGAGCAAGGCATTGTCTTGTTTCATCTTGAACGCTGAGAGTTGTGAGGTCGGTTGTCACTTCCTGGCTGCTTACACCGTGGAGGGTTAGGTCTTCTTGAGGAAACTGAAAAAGAAAAGTTTGTGCGTCATCACAGAGCCCAGGGGACATCTGTTAAAGGCTGGTCATGTACGGCCTTTTTGATGCCACGAAAATTGGCCTGTATTATGGAAAGTGTGGTCGGATATACGTTCTGTAGTTTTGGATCACCACTAACTACTGATGACTGATCTTAGCCATAATAATGCATCATTTCATTGTTTAAGAGCATGTTAAGAGTAAGGGTAACTGCTTTTTGTTTAATCACTATCCAACACTCCTTTATGGTATGGTAGGACCTTGAGGGAACAAACTGTCCAGTAGTATAGCTTGTTGGGTCATCATGATATACAAGCACAACCACCACGTCAAGGTAGCAGCTGTCGATTAGGTACGGTTGTTTATCCTCATCGAGCTTTGAAATACAGGCTTGTTTACTCGTGCATCAAGTCACACTGTCGCTTTGAGCGTTTCTGATTTCGACTATATATCAGTGAGCGTTTTCCTGTAAGTGTTCAAATTTAAAATCAGTCAGTTTTATACTAACCAGATCAAAGATATCCTAGTGATAGGCTTAATAAAGTAAGTTTTCATTATTTATTTACAAGCTTTCCGATTTTTATATGAGATTGTTTTTCAGTAAAATTTTACTAGTAGATAAACTAAGCGTACTCCAGAGCCAGAATCAAACGGATAAACATAGAAATGAATGATCAATTAGCTTACTTCATTTCAGTGTTGTCTATAAGTTTTCATGAACTAATCGATCAAGCATAGAGACTACGGATGTAAGATTTTTATTATTATTACCTTTGAGTTGAAATTTATCTGTTCACCTGTTCATAGTCTTGTTTAACAATGGGAACATTTAATTACGTTATTCAATAAATCCTTATCAAAATTTCTTAGACTAGTTTTTCAATAGTATCAATGTTAACATCGCTATTCATACTTATTTCTTTAGAAATTTTCACCATGTAGCTTGCGAACAATTGGTGCTTGTTTGGTAACACGTGCTCCATTATGCTTCGATGATTCATCAATAACTCTTTTAAATCTTTGTGGTAATAATCGTATTGATGAAGGTGAAGAATGCGATGTTGGTCATAGTCCAAATGATCCTTGTTGCAATTCTGATTGTTTTCTTAAGACAGGTGCTCTTTGTTCCCCATGGAATCATGGTTGTTGTACTTCCGGTAAGATTTATTTCAATCATTATTTTTCACAATGATTGCTTATATGACACACTTTTGTCCTGTTGATTCTTTATTTCTTATAATATTGGTGTTAGTTAACGGTTAGACTTCATATCTGCCTGTATTCATTCATCTGTAGTTTGTAGGTTTTCGCAATTTTTTTGGTTAAAGACCTAACTAGTCTGTTGTGATTAAAACATGATTCGTATCTTGAATAATCATAGGATACTGTAGTAGCTAACTAAAATTGATATAGTTCTACCAGCCATTGAATATATCTCCTGCCTATAAGTTAGTTGTATCACATCATGCCATCTGTAGCGCCGCCGCGATATCTGATTGTGTATTAAGGGTCGAGTGTATTGTACTGGAGTCCGCTCTGTTCTACTGTATGACTGTGAACTATGGCCATTAAAGGTAGAAGATATGAAGAAGCTTCAGGTTTTTGACCACCGCTGCCTTCGTAGTATAGGTCATGATGTGTCGTTGTGTCACCACGTGAGTAATGCGGAAGTCAGGCGTAGAGGTTTAATGAGAAAGGGTAAGTCAGTTGACGAGGTTGTGAATCTTCATCGACTGAGATGATTGGCTCCGATACGTGTTACGTATGCCTAGTCGCCGATTACCTCGTCACACAATTTTGGCCGAAGTAGATCCAGGCTGGAAAAAGGCCCGAGGTGGTCAGACCAATACATAGCACCAATGTATGAAGTGTTTGACTGTTGGTTTAAGCCATGTGAAGCGATGCAGACTAGCTGGTTGAGGGTCCATAGGATAACAGAAACCAGTGTTCGGAGACTCTAGGTGATATGGCGCAGATGTATACACACATTATCCTCACCTTAAGCGCCGTACTTAATCTCATGATCTTATTCTTGCTTTTTCTCTTTTATTACTTTGTACTTCTACTTCCTTTGACCGATTTTTCTTTCTTTTTCCATCTTCCAGTTTATTTCCTTGTTACTTGATGTGCTGATATGAGGTGTGGCAACTTGGACAGTTACGCAGTAATGCTTGATCCTATGTTGATCTTGATGATGATCGCATCAGAGACGCATTGAATTTTCCTTTTAAGAAATAAGCAGGCAGCATTGAACATACCTCAGCGATCTCGTATCAAAACACTGTACCACAGCTTTGTTTTCTCCAGCTTATTGATCACATTGAATTTCTTAGTCAATGGAATACAAGGTATGAGTAATCGAAAATTCAGTGGCATATGCATATACAAACTGCATAATTCTTATAGGGTTTTCCTTATGTCTTTTCTGTAGTTTCTATTTGTAATTCCTCGCAAGTTAGTTAGCTTTTAAGCATCTTTATAATTTTTGTCTCAACAGATTGTCAATTTGCACCGAACAATACTATTTGTGCACAAACAAGCAGTGCTAATCCTTGTCTAGGACCTGGTCATTGTAATGGATTATCACCTATTTGTCCAGGTCCAACACTTTTATCCATTGGTCAATGCGAGGAATATGGACATTGTTTTCAGGGTAAATGTCATCCATTTTGTGATAGTCTTGGATTGGAGACTTGTATTTGTGATTCAAGTGAGTTACTTAGTATAGATTTTGATAATATTCGGTAATAGTTCCCAGTGAGACTTAAGATAAATCTTCGTTATTATGCAGCTGTTGCTCATTGGTTTAAGGAGTTGAGTTTCAACCATTGAGTTACGGGTTTGAACAGCGCTCCACCTACCAAGATTTGGGCAGCTAGGTAGTATTATTGGTCATCATACAACAGATGTGGTTCATTGCCTGCTACATGAACTTACATTAGTTTGCTGAGTGTTTCACTTTTATTCATTATACAGTTAACGTAACAATATGTGTTTTCATATTATTACTTGTATTATCATGTCATTGATTAGACCGAATTGATTGGTTTCTGTTGGCATATGGGCTCCTGTGACGATACCTTGATATTACATGTGTTTTAATTATAGTTATACGTGTTTTCGATACGATTTCCCTTGACCTACACTTAACCTGTAATAAATTGCACACATCAAGCAGTTATATTAATTCAAAGAGTGATAGAATAATTTGAAAGTAGAGTTGAGTAAACATCTACTTCAGTACATGGGATATTCCTATTTAGACATTTAGAAAAAGACTGATTGACTGAAGAAATATATATTCCTTTTCAATTAGGTCTTCATCTTGGACTCTACACTAATATATAGTTTTACAATCTAATCAAATTATCAATCAAGTGGTAGAGGGTTGATGAACAATAATCACAGATTTTAAGTAAGTCATGAAGATGATGTTTTAGAAATAACAATGTAAATAATCAGTGGAGTTATTAAAATTGGTAATATGAAGCAGGTTATTCTTAGGTAAATAGGATGATTTTTGACGAGTGTTCAGTCATAAACAATAAGTGATTGCGTAATAATGAGAAAACCAATGAATATTGATAGAAACAAGAAGGGGAAGAGGTGTACAAGGTAATACTAGAAGTCACATCATGTTGACTACCACGGTAATGAAAATGGTTGAACAAACTTCTTTTGAATACAAAGGTTTAAGTTTGTAAGAGTGGACCGCAATCGCCTCTGCTGTGTGAAGTAAATGAGTGTGTAATCCATGTGGTAAATTAGTTGGAATATGACGAATGATTTTCAAAGTTTGTCTAGTGTCTACTTGATATCCCCAGTTCTTGGCATGACAAACTCTCCGTATCATGCAACCGCAAAATAGTCAGTACAACTCTTGAAGGCTGTTCATAAAGAAGTTGTAAAGTACAACCCCAAAGATACCTTTGAATTTGTTGAAAAGATTGAGGATCTGAAAGTAGATAATAAGTTAATGATGTCGTGTGATGTTTCATCTCTTTTTACTAAAGTTCCTTTAATGAAGACAGTAGACTTTATTTGCAGTTAACTAGGCTCGGCATGGAAATAGGTATTCTAATTTCCACATTCAAAAAACTACTTCTGAAGTGTACGATGAACGCACAATTCCTTTTCAAGAATGAAGTTTACAGGCAGTCACCCCTTGCCCCACTCTTAACAGATTTTTTTTCTGTTAAAACTAGAGGGTGGTCCACTGAATGAAACTACTAGCCGTTAATAATTATATTGTCGTTACATGGATGATATCTTTATAGTTCTCAAAAGTGATATTGAAAGAATGCTGTTCTCAATGAGTTCAGTAGCGTTCATCTGGCAATCAACTTCACAATGGAGGAGGAGAAAAATAACAGTATCCCATTTCTTGATGTTCTGTTGGTTAGATGGAACTCTGAAACGAAGTGTATATAGAAAGCCAACATCGATAGGTCAGTACACGCACTTATTTTGTGCCGTACCCCTCCAACACAAAAGGAACTTGGTGAAATGCCTAGCATACCGCGCTACAGCTAATTGTTCAGATGATGGCGTCAAGGAAGAGCTCGCCACCACGCGTGATCTGCTTAGTAGGAATGGCTATTCAAACAAGTTTACGACCAAGCATATCAATGTTACGAAGGTTAAGACAAGAACGTTAACAGCTCCTAAGCAGCAAATCTTCTTGAGGCTGAAATTCAAGAGTGACATTGTCAGTGAGATCATCACATAACACATAAAAAAAGTTTTGCAAAAAGCATTCCCAACCGCTAAATTATGATCCATCTTCTACAACCGCACTGTTCTAGGTGCAAGAAATAAAGACAAACTGCCTCATTCTGCCACTTCTATGTGCATTTATCAATTCAACATGATGTGACTTCTAGTATTACCTTGTACACCTCTTCCCCTTCTTGTTTCTATCAATATTCATTGGTTTTCTCATTATTACGCAATCACTTATTGTTTATGACTGAACACTCGTCAAAAATCATCCTATTTACCTAAGAATAACCTGCTTCATATTACCAATTTTAATAACTCCACTGATTATTTACATTGTTATTTCTAAAACATCATCTTCATGACTTACTTAAAATCTGTGATTATTGTTCATCAACCCTCTACCACTTGATTGATAATTTGATTAGATTGTAAAACTATATATTAGTGTAGAGTCCAAGATGAAGACCTAATTGAAAAGGAATATATATTTCTTCAGTCAATCAGTCTTTTTCTAAATGTCTAAATAGGAATAACCAATGTACTGAAATCTGCTGAGCAACAAATTACGTTAAAGATTCTCAACTGGAGTATATGAAGTTGATCACAAGGCTCTGTGAAGCGTAGGTTTCTATAAAAATCTTTTTTACATCAGTTTAGCTAATTAATTAGATAAAGGGATTATAAAACAGAGAACTTCACTTATTAGGATTAAAAAGGGAAGTAAGTCAGGGCAAAAGCGAAAATTGTGCACTGCTTACTGAAACGAAGCAGCTCTCCACTTGTCTCAGGTTTTCAAAAATTTTTTCAACTGGTATCTCTCTTTGATATCAGTAAAATCGCCACAACTTCCAAACTGAAAACATAAAAAAACATAAAATTCAAATCAAGATTTTGCTTGAAGGAAAATAAAAACGTTGGGTTAACACGTAAAGAACTGTATCTGGTAAAATATCTTTGGTTATGAAGGCCTTCTACAGATATTCTACTGGAAGCATATTCTTCAAACATCACTGACTTCTGTCTTAGTGATGATTAGTAATCCAGTAAACTTTTGACCAATCTAATTTTTTATATTTAGTCACCTACTACTTACAGCTTGCCGAAATCCATACATTTATTCTGCTTTCTGCTTTACATATGATTTGAATAGTACATTTATTATCCTTGATGATTATTATTCAGTATATATATGTTGTATTTCGTGTATGAACTGTGGTTTGTTGGTCTTGGTTGTTGACTTCAAACAAATCTGCCACGAGTTCGAACTCCAGTTCATTTACGTAAGTTTAATCAGTCAAGCTTATTCCTCAGTGAATAAGACTGTTGGTGGTTTATCAGTTACGGTGACACAAAAAGTATTCAGTACTCTGGTAACTAATCCTCTGAGTTAATTATAGCAATGGCGTTATACTTTAATGGAAGGATGAGAGATGGTATTCAAATTAATGTATGTTTTAAGGTTGATAAGTTAAGAAATGTGGAAAGTAGAAACTTACTACTTTAATTTGCACAATAACCATGATGTCCACCAGTATTATTAGTCAGTGTAAGTCTAGAATGATAATATCATCAGTCCTTCATGTTTTTGGCTTTTACTTCTGATCCTTTCAGTTTCTTCCATTTCTTCGTAAGAGCAGGTTCCTGAAGCTGAAAATCAGCAGAATAGATCTCGTATTTGTGGTAGCTTCATTGCTACAACATTCTTCAGGACTATGCTTACCGGTGTTCATTTATGAATGTTAGGCAGTTAAGATCAGTATCGGATGGTAATTAGGTAATATTACATAAACTACTGAAATTCGTAATTTAGTAGGCTAAATTTTTAAGCATAATAATAACGTTCATAGTTTTCTCACTTCCTTTTTTTTTATAGCTGAAGAATCCTGTTTTATTTGCTGCTTATTTCCAATATCAGATTCTACTACACGTCAAAATGCATGTCTTCCTGTAATATTATCTGAAGATGAATACTTGTTATATTATAGAATGCATAATGGCAGCGATTCGGAGTTTCATAAATCTTATTCAGTAATTCACCATTTGAAGAAACCAGCTATATATTCAATGCATACATTTTCACCATTCCCATCGTCTAAAGTATTACATTTGTACAGCAGTTATTTATCAAACACTACATATCATTTTACCCGTAACAGGACAAATAAAATATCTACACTTCAACTTAGCAGTCATGATTCTAGCTATAATTATCTGCAATTAGTATATATTCATCTTCAAGATTATCGACCATGTGATCGGGGTTACTGTATGTCAGGGAAGTGTGTAGAATCAAAAAGTAAGAGAATATTACGGTTTTGGACACCTGTTCATTACTCAAGAAAAAAGAATTTCGGTAAGTATCATTTTTTCTCAAATACTGCACATTCGTGCAATGGGCATTGAGTCACTCTTATTGTATGAGAGACAGTGATACTACCTGCCTGTCTATATCCCGGTAGGTGGAGTAGCGTTCGAACCCGTGGTTAGTGACCAATTGTATTCAGTTTATCGATAGGGCTTATCTTAATCTCGTTAGTCAACTGAATCTGTCATCATTTTGTACATTGTAAAATCTCTTGGTGAATATTTTGATACTACCGTTTGCAGCGTATTAAAAGCATTGTAGTGATGATCGGTAGTAGACAGGAGTTTCGTTACGTTTGAAATTCGTTAGTCAAATGTAACCAACCTCTAGTTTGTTGTTCATTGCCATAAAAATTGAGCACATTAGCTTCAAGTGCTGAAGTTTTGCTTATTCAGTCATTTGGTTGAGATTACCACTTCCTCTGCAAGGAGTGTCGGTTGTAGACATAATTTTTCTTATTGTAGTTTACTTGTTCGTAGTGTTTTTTTCTCTACGGTTTGATTTCAAGTATGAAGAGTTTATGCACATTTTATCTCAGAATTCTGTGTCTGCTTATAAGAAGGCAGATTTATGTGGAAGTTAGACAAAATGATACGGGTTGGTGGGGACTTTTCTTTCCACCTGGTGTCCTGAGAATCACATCTATTATATATCAACTAATGACAGTGCTTGTATATCATTGGTGTAAGGAGCTGACTTTCAACCAATGAGTCACGGGTTGGATCCTTGCTTCACCTACCGAGGTTTGGGCAGTCAATTAGTATCATTAGGCCTCACACAATAGGTATGGATCGTTGTCTACTGGACAAATGTACACAAAGTTGATGAGTGCATTTCATTTTCAATGACAAAGGCTGGAGAAGAGTTAAAATGGATTAAAACCCTTAACTTGTCTTTAAGTTGAGCATCGCAACTACTTGCCTACAGTTCTGTAGAAAGTAGCAGATAAAGCTTTTAAAAAGAATATTTTACAAATCTAATCTTTATACTAGGTTTTAGCATGTCCATTTGCAAAAATGAGCTAGTTGTTAGTGGTATTATTATTGTATAAGTATTTTAGTTTTCTCTTAAAGCGTAGAGACTACGGTTTATCATCGAAACAGTTTGGCCTATCTTGTTGGATTCTGATTACAGACATAGTATAAAGATATACTTTTAAGACTATGATGATTAGAAGTTGGTAATCAGTGAGGAACACATTCCCACTGACAAAATGATGTAAATGAACGGATCCAGTCCGGTATGTTTTATATGCATGCCCGCTAGGAGCTGAATTTATTGTCTAATGATTAACATCACTATCAAGTTTAGCAGCCTGAAGTAGATAAATTATATTTGAAGCCGTTGATATTCAATTGAGAATGGAGGTCCATTAGTCTGGGTATATGGTTTCTAACTGATGGGTCAACAGTTCGAGCCTCACTCCACCTACCGAGGTCTCGGCAGTTAGGCCTTATCATTAGCCTTTATACATAGTATTAATTACACTACACTGAAAGAATTTTAACAATGTAACCTATGGGCAGTGGCTAGAAGTGGAATCCAGGATGTTCATTTCATCCCATTTGGGACTCGTCAGCTGGATGTACCCGCCTCCCAGTGAGTGTTGTTCCTACCGGGACTCGGGAGCAACCGCTTCAAACGCGAGAGCGCCATCCACTACACCACCGAGCCACGAAATGCGCATCCTGAATTCCACCGCTAGCCACTGCCCATCACTACTATACATAGTTAAAAGAGGCAATATCGAGGCATCCGCACAGGAGTCCAATCAACGACGGTGTAATACAAGCAATAACACTAAACCTATAACCGTCGCATAAGAAGTGGCTATCATGGCTCGGTGGTGTAGTGGATAACGCTCTCGCATTTGAAGCGATCGCTCCCGAGTCCTGGTGGGAACAACACTCACTGAGAGGCAGGTACATGCAACTTCGTAAAGGAGAAAGGTATAATATTAGCCTAAATCAAATAGCATTTCTTTCATCCATCCAAATCAACATAGGACCAAGGATTACTGCGTAACGGTCCGAGTTGATGCAGCTCATACCAGTACATCAAGTAAAAGGCTGTGAAAATGAAGCAAAGAAAATTCAGTCGTGAGAAATATAAAGTGCTAAAGAAGAGGAATGAAGAATGAGAAATTGGTGATATGCGGTATAGCGTCGTTAAGATGAGGATAATATGTGTATACATCTGCGCCACTGACATCAGTTTTCAGCCATATGATCATCTAGAGTCAGTCTCCAACCACTGGTTCCTCTTATCCCGTGGACTCCAACCGACTAGTCTGCATCGCCCCACATGGCTTAAACCAACAGTCAAACACTATATACACTGATGCCATGTTTTCGACTGGCCACCTCGGGCCTTCTTCTAGTCTCGACGTACTTCGGCCAATGTTGTGTGACGAGGTAATTGGCGACTAGGCACATGTAACACATGTCGGAGCCAACCATCTCAGTTGATGAAGATTCACAAACTTGTCAACCGACCTGCCTTTCTCTGTAAAACTCTACACATTACTCACGTGGTGATACCACGGAATACAGCCTATACTACGAAGACAGCAGTGGTCAAAAACCTGAAGCTTCCTCATATCTTCTACCTTTAATGGTCATGGTTCACAGTCATATAGTAGAACAGAGCGGACTACTGTGTAGTACATGCAGTACATGTCTTTCATCCAGTGTGTCAATGATAACTTGTTGTTATTTGACTAAATTTCAATGGAATATAATACTATAATGAATACCCTAATGTAACGTATAAAAAACTTGTAATTAAAGAGTATAACTGTCAGCAGAAGTGAATTTTCACTTCCTATTGGGTAAACACATCTATCATCCATCTATCATCAAATGAGGTATTAATGTGTACGGCCCTATTTTCAAGATATGCAAGAAATAATAAACTTTATCACTTATTTTTGTTGACTAAACAGTTTTGAATTATTACGTGTTTGAATATGTTTTTGAAGTTATGTTTCAGTTGAATAATTGCTGAGAACCAGTAGTTAGCAATAAACACATGTTTTCTCATATATCAGAAATCCTTTAACTATTTAAGATATAGATAGTTTGCTCCTTGATACTCAATGTCTTCTTCAACATTATTCGTTTTCTATCTATCCAGTTCCTAGGAGGTGTGACAACTTGAATTGATACATTTTTATGCAAGTTGGTTTATCTATCTGTCAGTGTTTGACATACTACTAGATCAGTCGCTAAAAAGAAGCCTATTGAGCTACATATGCGTAGAATTTAGACACCGTAGTGGAATGTTATTCTACTTTGTTTGTTTTATTATACTACAATTAAATAGTATTATTTACTGGGTGATGTTTTACTCACAACGTATTGTTATTTGGACGGAGATGATCAGGAGGAAGCCGTGGATCCAGGTTTCATGCTTGTTAACATTCACCAGTAAGGCGGAATTGATATCTCATCTGTTGCAGTTGGAGACTTTACCACTGAGTTGTTCCCTATAGGATACAACTTATTATCCATAATCATATCAGGGTGATACTCTTTTGGTGTGTAATAAGAACTAAAAAGCTTATTGACTGTTAAACTATTTCACGTTTCAAAGATGGATATTTCGAGTTGTAATGATAAGCTATTTCATTTTTATGGCTAAAGCATCTTTTCTCATCAATATACCTTAGTTTATTTTGACTCATAAAACTAATAACTTATATTTCCTGAAAAAGGGATAGTTGTATGATTCAAGTAATAAAAGTCTTTTTTTTAACAAAATATTTTTCTAATAGGTACTATTGTTTGGGATAATTTCACTCTTCTTGTGATCTTTCTATCACTCTTTATATGGATACCATTGAGTGGATGTGTTGCTTATTTAGTAAGTTTTGTTTAATTTAATTAGAGTATCTATAATGAAAATGTTATTCTGTTACTAGACGTTTCTCATATTTCGCAATACAAACGTAATAAGTATCAAATAGATATATAAATTTCTTAATCTATTTTTAGCTGACAAACGTAGATGTTTCCATACTTGTTAGGAAGGTAGATGAAAAACAATAAAAAGAAATTTGTTATCTAAATCGAAAGAGAAACTTGATTGTGTAAGGATTTAACTTGTATAGAGTGATAAAATATCAAAATTTAGGAAAACAAGGATAGGCTACTCTATTTACAATGCCATCGAATACTGTCCTACTTGGGATTTCCAGGCATCAAGTACTAACACCTAAATAATTCTGGTTTGAAGGCTGATATGAATCAGATTAGCAGTCAGTAATTTCATGAACTGATACTGTAGTAGGCGCTGCAAATCAGGATGGATATAAGTAGTATATTTTGAGAGGGCAGCAGAAATCATAGGAAAATACCAGCAATGAGTAAAGACTCTGTTCAGAAAAACGTAAGAGACAATGTGGGCTTATTAAGAGCAAATCAAGATAAAAACAGAAGAGGAAATGAAGCACATTATGCAAACGACTGTCTTAGTGGAAGGTGTATCATATTTGATGACTATTGTACAAAATGTCAATAGTAAACATTCCTTCCTTCGTCTTCATCTTGTCGTTTTCTGCAATATCGCATCAATTCCTGAACATGTAGTTGTTACTTAAACATGATTTTCAGGCCTATTTATCATGATAACTCCTTTGAAGTGTGCACTACCAGGAACATTTTCGTCTATAGGCTTAGTTATGTCACAAACGTCGAAAATGATGAGATGAAAAAAAATGTTTGATGAGAAGTCGAAGAGGTAAGTCGTACTGTTGACTGTATTGTAGTGAAGTAACAATAAAGTTTGGTCTCGAGACAGGTAGTATTTGTAGCGATACTGACTTCTTATTCGGATAGATCCAAACAGTGAGGTCTAATAAAATGCCTATTCAATAGAATCTATCTTATCAGTTCATCAGGTACCATAGATGAAGGTATCAAATTAATAACCAGAACACTTAGTGGAGATGGATATCTATTGAAGTTGATAAACCGTTGTAGAAGGCAAGTAACACTCAAACCAACCCTATGCATAGTTCCTAAGAAAGATGCCCATGTCACTTTATCATGCAGAGTAGAGTTGAACAGTATAACTATAAGACGTAGTCTAACATCAGCTATTAGTAAAGTACATTATGTAGCTAAGCTTATTGTTGTGGAAGAAAACAGAACACATGTTTCACCACAAACCTAAACACTGCATAAATGAATACATCATATCCCGATGTGTTCACCAGTATACTTGGTCACACATACATATAGAGTAGTAATCGTGTTATGCAGTTGAGTGTGGGGGAACGTATGCCTAAATGGCTTCAAAAGTAAATAGATTGTAAAACTTTGATAAGCTCAGGTGGGAGGTAACCCTCTCCATCTATAGCTAAACATATTAATCAGTTAAAAAAGCCTGACGCTGAAGGTAAGGTGGATGTATTGTCTAATAAAGTTTTGATAGATTAAGGTTTTCAGACTAATGCCGTCAACTTGATGAACAGATATCTTTTACATTCCTAGTCACAGTATCAGGTATTAAATCCACTTTTTTTTTGTACAGTAACTCAAGACAAAAGTAACCTTCATCACTGTCTTTTAGTTAGCAGTGCTATTCGCCTGTATACTTCCTACGACACTCGTGTTTATTAGAATCATCATTAACTTTATTCCTTCTCCCGACATTTTCTGCTCCATCTTACACTACTACTGTTGCCGTAAATATGCTCGTTTCAGCGAACACCGTATCTTTATTTGGTAACCTGACTGAAGTCTTTAATACGTTGTTTCAATCATATATTCGTTTTCACTTTAATTGATGCATAACTGCAAAATAACTATGTCAGGGGTGTATTTCATGAGAGTATTGTTTTCTCGGACGCACCCAACTAAGAACTATTGATTGATTAATGTATTGACATTTTTTTGTCACTAATAAATGTACACACTAGTGATATTTAAATGCGTTTGTACCACTTCTGAGAATGTTATCGCCGATAACAAATTTGTTTATTGAAGTTTTTTCACCTTTTCTAATTTGGAATAGTAAAAGAGTGGTAATAATCTAGAAGGCATCAAATAAGTTTATTGTCTGTCGAATCGGAAAACATTTTTGGTATACACCCTAATCATAGGACTCTATGAATTGGGAAACCGACTTTACTAGTTTCAATATTGCACTATCCTAATGTCGATGATGCATTTTCCAACTTTACCCTCATAATCAACGGTTTATGTTATCAGTCTGAAAAATTCAATTGGAGTAAAAACTAACAAGATGGAAACGATATCTTTCATTTTATTCACTATATTCCTATGGAATACAATCTAAAAACAGTATAGAAGTAGAGTCTCCGAAGGAATACGTGACTTCAACAAAATACACCCGACAACTTCCATACTGACTCAGGATCTTCAACCACCCATCGTTGCTCGTTTAACAGCTGGTATTGAGTAGAAGAAACAGACAAGTCATTTTATAACGTAAGATGATAGTTGGTGAATTCAAACTCTGTATGTACTCAAAAGATCTTACAACTTAACCATTTGAGAAATTGAATATGATCCAGTCAAAACTTGTGGCAATTAAGTTGTTTTTTTGTTGACAAAATCATTGTAGAACCTTCTACACAGATGCATCGGCTCAAGTTTCCATATTTCACAGTAGTGCAGTTGGATGTAAAAAGAATGATATCAAAGTAGATAGTCTGAAAGAATAAATAATTTAAAGATAACGGTTAGTGAAAATATCCAAACCATTATGACCAATTTTCGGCCATGTCATCAAAATTCCTCAACCACTGGTTCCCATCGTTTTGGGGACCCTAGCAAGGCAGTCTACATCTCCCCACACGGCTCTGATCAACAATTAAAGACTTCATCAACTGGTGCCATATCTTATTCTGACAAACCTGAACGCTCTTCCAACCTAATCTAGCTTCTTCTAGCTTGGTACGTTGAAGTAGATGGTGGCTCGACATGCGCGGTACATATCCAAGCCACTTCAGTCGACTAAGTCTCACTATCTCATCAATCGACTTACCTGTCTTGCCTAATTCCCTTCGCTTGACCTCAACATTGTTCACACAGTGGTTTCATCAGACGTGAGCAATGCTACGAGGATACATATGATCAAAACCCTGTAATCGCTTCATGTCGGTGCCACAAGTGACGCCAGTTGGCAAATGCCAAATGGACCTTGTGTATCCGAGCTAAGATTTTGTCAACAGCCAACCCGTTCAGGTTAATACAACTTTCCAAGTAAGTGAAGTGGTCGGCAAATTCCACCACTTCACTCTCATTAAACTAGGAGTGGTTGCAGACCAGTCCTGACGCATCATGTTTGTTGTAGTTGACTGTTTTCATAATTTACCATCCAAGGTAACTTGAGAATATTACTAATGTACAACAAAATTGTGGATGAGCAATTCACATACAGGATGGGTAATTGAGATATTGGTTGACAGTAAGCAGAATAATTTTGCTGAACTATTTACCTTCAGTAAAGTTATGAATACTGTCAGAAATGAACCTGTAGGTCTTGGGTTCGATTCTTGACAGGGTCATGCATGCTTACTGGTGAAGAGTCTGATACAAGAACGAAACAACTATCCAGGGATGCGAAATTTCCAGTGGGTTTCCAGTTGGTATCAGTTCATGGAATATAAATGTATTGATAGACTTTTATTATTACATAATTAATTAATGTTAATTATCAGTAATATATGAATTATTTTTGTTGTACTTGTAGAATAGGTATCCTCAACATGAAATCGCTAATCATTAATCCAAAGAAAACGTATACAGTTTTATTGATTATGAAAAGGAAATATGCTTTATTTCAACCTATTTTTATTGATTATTTTATTCATAGAAATTTATTGAATTTCTATTGTTCAACTGCATTTGTGTTTTATTTTTGCAAAACAATTTTTATTAGTGACTAACATTTCTAAGGTTTATTAAATGCAACTTTTGTCTCAACTTCATGTTAGTTTAACTTTTATTTCCATATATATGTGTGTATAGTGGAGAATATTTGTAGCTCAGGTGGGATAGTCTTGGTTGTATTATGTTCTTTAAGCTGGGTTATAATATTTAATCGTGTAGCTTTCATCATCTTTCTAGACGACATCATCAGAACTAACTTCATACTAAAGTTAGTCCTGATGATGTCGTCTAGAAAGACGATGAAAGCTTCACGACTAAACAACTCAGAGAAGACAATACAACCAAGATATATGTGTGTATGTATATATGTAGGTCAGTGATTGCAGAGTTCTCATTAATTTATTCGAGTCAAGACTTGATTTAGATGCAGAATAGTTGTGTTGTTACCAGGGGGTTATTGACCCGAAACATTTAGCGAATCACTATAAACTGTACCATTTCGGTTTGAGTGATTAAAATTCTACTGAATAATTTTTACTTCTTACTATCAGTTATCTTTATTATTGTTTTTCAATAAGCTGTGATATATACACGTTTTATTTCTTATATAAGTTTCTGTATCTTTATCACCTATTCAGATTTCTTACCTTCTGTGTGGGGTATAACGTTAAACAGAACAAAAAAGCAGATTCAATCAATGTTAAGTAGAATTAGGCATACCTAATACTAGAAGAGTAGAAAGAGTTATTGATGAAGAAGTATTATGCCTTTTTTTTTCCCTACCACAGTTATCAAATTATCCCTCTCCTTACCATTTTGTAATTCTTGTATTTATTTAATTATTCAATTTCTTCGACAACTGCCTTCAATACGAAAGATTTTGTTTACTTTTCTCTTTAATCCATTTCTTTCAATAACTAATTATGATTATTAATGAAAAGTATTTTTGTTAACTTTATCCTGTACTGTTTTAATTATCATATATTTGTACAATTGTTTTCTCTTTTTATTGTTATTTTCTTGTTTCAACGCACCGGTTGTTTTGTATGTAATATTAAAAATAATAATAATAATATTACTATTTGTCGGTGTTTTTTTTTAAAATTCTCCATCGTTTTATTGGATCGAATTGTTCGACCTCTATTGAGGTGTGTCCTAGATTCCTCTGTTAGCCCTAACCAAGTAAATTATCCTAATAAATTTTCAGACGATATCGAGGCATCCGTGTAAGAGCCTATATACCGATAGACGTTGAACAATTCGATCCAGTAAAACAACAGAGAATTAAAAGTATATCAGTAAATAGTAATAATTAATGCTTGTTGTACAGGAGATAGGTATCGTGTTTCAGTGGCCTGATGGGATAACACCTTGGCGTTTAAAGCGATGAGTATGAAGTTTGAGTTTTAGTGAGAACAACATCACTTACTTGGGGTGCAGGTACATCCAACTGACAGGTCCTAAATAGGACGAAACATGCGTTCTGGATTCCTCCGCTAGCCACGACCAAATAAATAATGATCATTATTAATATCCAAAAATAAATAGGTGTGTTGTAATTGGTAGTAGGGAACGTTAATGTCAAGCACTGCAGTGATGTACACCGTCAACTTAAAAATGTTTTGACTTCGTCCTCCATTGGTGTTTACATCCTAGATATCATGTTGGTTATAACTTGAGAATATACAAGAGTCTAGGCAAAACACTCAACACATAGGTAACTATTATACTTTCAGAAAAGAGAAGGAAAATAAGGGTGTCCGTTGATTTTGTTTGGCTTTTTTTTCGGTAATACATCCACGAATCCTAGTTATCTCTCTGGATGAATGTTGTTTTCTTCTGAAGTCTTTCAAGAATGATTACAATATTACTATCAAGTATGTTTCAACGTCTGAGTGTGCAATCTAAGGTCCTTTAGAAAAAAATTGCATGAAATATAAAATTTAGATTGTGTTCATCTTGGTGAGTAGAAGTAGAATCCAGGACACACGTCTCCTCTTATTTGGAACTCATCAGTGGGATATACACCTCAATGAGTGATATTTTTGCTCATGAAACTCGAACGCAGTACCCATGACTTCAAACGCCAAAGTGTTATCCACTAGGCCACTGGACTACGACAGCCACTTCTTGTGCAAGGGGTATCAATTGTTGTTTTTAGACTTTTAATTTCTTGTTGCTATATAGGGTCGAACTTCTCGATTAGTCAAATCATACTTTAAGCATAGTAAAATAATTAGAAAACTAATATAAATTAGCTTCATTAGTTCTCTTATGAAACTTAAGTTATAAGTGTGCTATACTTGCAGGATAGTTGTACGAGTTATTCGTTCATGTTTATTGGTGATTTTACTCGCTAACATTCTGCTGAAGTAGTATCGCCGAATTTCTTGTGTAATTCTAATAATCTCTGTAAATCCTCTCAATTAAGTATGATTTACTTATTCCAATGTAGTATCCATCACGAGCTGACGTCAGTTAGCGAACTATTGAAGAACCTCGAGCACTAGACAGGTGTTTCGTCTTAGTACATGACTCCTCAACAGTAGGCACCCACGATACCGCCAGGGATTGAACTCACAGCAAATTCATTAACCAGTCACCTACTGGTTTCGAGTAGAATGGTCCACAGTTTTTTACTTTGATCAATTCACTATGTAGTGCGACTATCCACTGATTAGTATCCGCTTGACTTTCAGCGCTCCCAGGTTTCCGCTTGTTCTCCAACTGACGTCTGTTTATGATTAATACTACACTAAAATAAATAAAATCCCATTAAAAATCAGGCTGCATTATAGTTTGTTTGCCTACCCAGTTAGTGTGCAATTAATAGGTGTGTAGTTGAAAGTAATCAGTTAGAAACACTTCAGTGTAGGCTCTGTGTCTGATAGATATATCTTTAAGCCTAGGTGAATCTACACCCTTTGAAGTAGATGATATGGTGTAATTCAACTCTGTAATCAACCCTTCGGTTGCCTTACTTTGGCTTAATATAGGGTTTTGATGTACAGCCCCACTTATTTATCTTCAGTCTTACTTTTCTATTTTAATGAACTTTTCAACTTCAGTAGCTGAGTCATTTATGCAGGTGATTATGAACCGGTGGGTCATGGCTTTGAAACTCACTCCACGTACCAAGGTTAGAGTAACCAGGTAGTATCATCAATCCTCATATAATAGGTGTGGCTTACTGCCTACTACAGGAATGTGCGCAAGTTTTCTGAATACTCGTACTCAGTATTCAGAGTGATTTCCCCCTTAGTCTCTATAATCTAATATTTTTAGTCAAATTTCCAATGGTTATACGGTTTACAGTCTGTACGATTTAGCTTTTGGTGATATCGGTTTTTAGAAAGCGTATATGACCTAGGGATTATTGAAAACAAAATTACACCCTCTTGAGGGACTGTGTTTGATTGTGAATTGCCAAGTCGCTGTTGAGTAAACTTTTTACTGGTCAGCTGAATAAGCTATTACGAATATAGAACTTCAGAAGTTTGAATTCTTCGTCAGTGCAGCAGATATCTGTTTCCATTTAATATTTTGAATCTGCACTACAATTGTTTAGCGACTATGAACTACCAAATAGTTTACTTATGTTGCTATTGTTATTTGAGTCTATTTGTGTACTGGGCTGGTTTACTAGATTTTAACCGTCGTAGTTAGCAACCATTACTATTGAGAATTTTGTCGCGTTTCATGTAAATCGTGTTTTATGCTTTACAGAGGTTATTTCTTATTGTCATGGGTATGAATGAATGTCAAAAGTTGAAATGGTCGAGAATATTTGTAGCTCAGATGGATACTCTTGGTTGTGTTGCGTTCTCTAATCGTGAAGCTCTCATTGTCTTTCTGAGCAAAATCGTTATCAGTAGCTTCAATATAAAGTCCTATATTAACTGTACGCATGTGCATAAAGTGTCCACTCTATGGTTGAGATTACTATCAATAATCAAGAGTTTGTTTCACCAACTTTTCACACTCATCAATGGGTTAAAGTAATGGGGGATGGAATTGTTATGGAGATGATGCATGTGTAGAATTTTGATTCAGTACCTTTTGGAGTAATTGACTAAGTTTGAACCAACTTATTCAACCTCATGATTATGAAGAATGGGTTCTGTGGTCATTTATCTTTACTGTTTGAGGCAGCCCCGTTTCATATGCGACCACAGATAGTTACTCATCAATTAAAAGACTATTATAGAGAATTTCATGAGCTAGTCAACCACTTGCTAAAATCTATAAACATTTCAGCAGTAATCAAAGGATTTAGACAAGAGCACGAGATGTTTACTATTCGAATAGATGAGGAGCATTCAGGTTAATTCTAAAGTCGACTCCACTTTTCCTTTGTATACTCGGAAATTTTATCTTAAGAAATCAACAACTTCTGCCTTACTTTCGTCATGTGCCAGTAGTTTTGGATAAGGAGTTAAAACAGCTTTTGAGAGTAGAAAATTTCTACTTGAGGTATATGTTTCTTTTTATCTAAGAAAAAAGGGATGAATGCCGCTTTCATTGATGAAAATGCAACGATCAGTTAAGCAGACAACTATCTGTGTTTGAGACGAAAGCTAAGTACTTCTTCAACGACTGTTTTCTTAATGCATATTCCTCGCTATTAGGTTGATTTTTACGATTCTGCTTATACTGGTTTCAGTAAATGTTTAAGTCTCGGGCATTAGTGACTGTACATATCAAAATTTGTATGTATGTTGGTCAAAGTAGGTTTAGTCTGTAAAAGGCTTGCGACGGCCAGTCGGAAACATAGCATCAATGTATGAAGTGTTTGACTGTCGGTTTGAGCCATGTGGGGCGATGCAGACTAGCCGGTTAGTGTCCATGGGACAAGAGGAACTAGTGGTGATCACATGGCTGAAAACTGATGTCAGTGGCGCAGATGTATACACACATTATCCTCACCTTAACGAAGCTATACCGAATCTTACCATTTTCTCATTCTTCCTCTCTCTCTTTTAGTTCTTTTGACTGGATTTTTTTCTCTTCATCTTCACTGCCTTTTACTTGATGTACTGATATGCGGTGTGGCAACTCGGACCGTTACCCAGTAATGCTTAGTCCTGTGTTGATAGATTATGATGAATTATTTCTTACAACTCTTCCGACTATCTTCTACAGAAGTTAGATTATTTAGATTCGAATTACTGAGGATAGAATATCCATTTTAGTCTGTTTATTAGAAATGTTACAGTGAGACATCATTTACTGGATAATGTTTCGGTCATAATTTGTTGTCCCATATACATATCATATAACTCCACAACTTTGAGATAAACCATGTATAAACTATGTTTATATAAACCATGTCTCAAAGTTATGGATTTACTTGATTAGAATTCGGACAATAAATTATGTCCGAAACATTACCTGATAAATAATACTTCACTGTGTGACATTTTTAGTAAACGGACTAAAATGAAATCACAATCTACCACAGTGCCCAAGTTTTACTTCTATATTAGTAGGACGGAATATGCTTTTCCTTTAGATTTTAGTATAGTCGAGCAGTAATGTTAATGATGAATAGTGGAATCCAGGATACACGTTTCGTCCTATTTTGAACCCATCAGCTACATGTACCTATCTCAGTGAGAGAAGTTTGGAGTGATTGGTTCTGGATGGGAACAACATCACTCACTAGGATGGCGAAGGGGGAACAACTGATGAGTTTTAAATAAGAAGAAGAGCGCATCTCGGATTCCACTGCTAGGCATGATCCATCATTAATTTCAAAATTGAAGATACTGTCACTATTGAGGCATGCGTATAGAAGCCCATATCCCAAACATAGCCGATCACTTCTATACAACCAATGATGAAGATTCAGAATCTTTACCATCAAAAGATGAGCAGTAAGCATGTGACCTCAGTTTTCTAGGCTACTCATGATCACATCAACCTCCGATATGGCGCATAGGAATGAAGTCGTACACTTGTCAATAAGAATTATTATGAAGTTAGTTTAGAACAAGGACGGTACTCGGAAGGCAAAAAAAATTATATCCACCGGAGAAATAAGCTTACTAGTACTAAGATAGCGTTAATACATTAAATATTTACAGTTAGT